ATTACCAAGTTTCCTTGCCTGTGACATCAATAAGTTGACCAATGCCCATTTCAACTTTAGCAGTCATTGTTCTATCAATGTCAACCAACAAATCCTCCCTTCCAGTCATATGATTGCTACATCCACTGTCTACAAACCATATCTCTTCACATTTCCTCACAATGGCATTGTTGTAGGCATAAAACATTGTAGGAGTGTCATTGACTTGGTTGATAAAGTTTACATGCTAATTAGCCTTCTCCTTCTTGACACATCAATCTTTTGCAATATGCCCAACTTATTGCAGTTATGACATTGTTTGGGCCCAAAATATTATTGTTGGGCCGAGCAGCAGGATGTGCTCGGCCCAAGGTGATAACAAATTATGGGCCGAATAATAAATCCTGGGCCAGTTGGCAGGGTCGGCCAAATACTATCCTAAGTAGTCCGGATAAATAGAAAAGGTCGAGGAAGTCCTGGTGTGACCATGATTCTCGACCGGCAAGGGATAAAGCCTCGAAAAGGAGGAAATTCAGAATCCCAGTGGGAACAGGTTTGATTGAGTTAGAGTCGAAATGGGACAAGGACTCCCAATCCAAATCAGAGTTGGTCTCAAGGAATGGGGTGCTATAAATACAAGAAATCATGCAATAGAAAAACCCCTTCAAATCAGTATACAATTGCCCTGCGCAAAACCTCTCAAACGCCTTGAGATTTTTCCCTTTCTTTTCCTGCCGACACATCTTCAGTTTGGATAAACAGCACTGTGGAAGCACCCGGCGATCATCTTCAGTTTGGATAAACAGCACTGTTGCCGTAGAATCAGCCTACCGAGAAGCACCTTCAGTTTGGATAAACAGCACTGCGTCGAGGTCGACCGGTTATCTATCTAAGTCTTGGCCGAGAAGGGTTTTCGAACCTTTGTTGGCAGAGGTCACCTTACTAGCCTTCTCGGCATAGTTGGGTGTTACGAATTGCATTACTCGGCGTACTGGATGCCGAGTGGTGTTATGATTGGATACTCGCAAGTAAGTTTCAGGGTTCGGCATTCCGACGGCCGAACTACGTTTACCATCAAGACATACATCACATTTGAGTACCTGTGCCCATATAGTTTGGTCTCGATTCGATGTGCTTATACTTGTACGAATATAATCACCGTGACCGAATCGGGCTCCGACGATTTGTGAACTTCGCAGAATTAGTAGCCTTGTCTTCAGGCTGTAGAACCCAGAGACCGAGAGGGTTCCTTCCTCGGTCGCAATCGCAAGATAGAGAAGTTAACCACGCGCTCAACGCGACATCAACAAATTTTACTCCTCGGCCAAGCTCGGCCGATGAGTTGGCACGCCCCGCATTCGACCGAAGGACGTAGTTAGCTTACTAGTTACTCGGCCTGCGCGCCACGTAGGTTTTGTAATTTTTAGAGTCAACAGACATCTAGGCTTATCCTTGAACCAACACTCACCAAAATGCAACTTATCATAGTGTATACACAGATTCTTAGCTCCCTCAGTGGTACCTGTAGCTTTTCTAGCTTGATTTGCAAACCTATTATCCCTCTTCTTTCCTTTTGACTTCCAATTTTTTTGTGGCTTGAACCCTTGATTCCCATTATACTTATTTTGTTTTGGAGCAACACTAAGACTAGCAAATGCCTTCTTAGTTTAAGTTTCAGCATGCATATAAATCCTTTGTTCATGCCCCCTTAGGATAGCAACAACATCTTGAGCATCAACAATCTCTAGCTCCTTAGTGTTTTCAATCATAGAGGCAATACTATCATAAGATCTAGGTAGACTTATCAGCAACTTTTGAACAATTCTTCGATTACTAGTATCTTACCATAACTCTTCAGTTGACTAATTAAATCAAACAGTCTAACTAGATATGCAAACAAAGCTTCATTTTCACCCATTCTAGTATACTCAAAATCTCGGTGTAAGCCTTAAAGTTTCACGGCTCTCACTTGTTTATCTCCCACAAATTCTTGCTTCAGAACATTCCAAGCAGAGTTTGCAGTCTCTTGGATGGTGATTCTCGAAAAGATTTGATCGGAAACCGCCCCTTGCATGATTCCAAGTGCCTTTGCTTCTTTGACGATGTTCTTCTTTAGCAACTTGCTCTCTGTTTCGGTGAGTTCTTCCTTCTTCTTTGCCAAAGTAGCAAAGCCCCTCTTGACTATATCCCAGAGTTTGTGAGATCGAAATATCGTCTTCATTCGAATCTGCCAGAAATCGAAGTTGTCTAGACTATATTCTAGCCTTCTCCAGGAAGCACTTTCCCCAAAAGAAAAGTTTTGAGGTGATCCTGAAAAATGTAGAGGGAAAGAAATGGAAAGTTAAAGCTTACCCTGCCAATGGATCACAGTTTTTGTTGAAAGGGTGGCTTGAATTTGCATCTGCTAGTCAGATCATTATCGACAATACTTGCATATTTGAGATTTTGAAGCTATTAAAATATGGCAATTTAACTAGAGCATGCTTTAAGTAGTGCACTTGCTTGTACTCGCATTTCCTTAATGCTGGAATGGACGTTGGTTGTACTCTAAATAGATGTGTTTCAGATCAATTAGTTTGATCATGATGAAAGTTTTTTTCTTGTTTAATCAGTCCACATCAAGCTTAGAGTCGAATTCAATTATATGAAGAAACAATTGTGCTGAGAAGCAATGTTAAGGCCACGAAAATTTGCTCATACTTTAAATTGAAGAACATAACCCATTCAAATCAATACTCCTTCACAATTTGTCATAAATTCTACATTATACATCCTTTAAACATGGGTAGGAGCCCCTGAGTCAGTATGCGTAAAAAATCTTTCTTGCATTGAGATTTGGAGGATCTATACATGGCTCTCCTGCTTGGGGTATGGCGTGCCAAATTTCAATGGGAAAGTGTGCAGACTTCAGAAATCTTTATATGGCCTCAAGCGGTCACCTAGATCATGATTTGGGAGATTCACTCAAGCCATGAAGAGATATGAAATCCCGTTCCCGAATTTCACTATTGAAATTTACGGATTTTGTATTTACATATTTTTTTATAATTATTTTGTTTTGTTAGTTTTAGAGCATTAATTAACTCGTTACAAAGTTGAAATTTTCGTAATTGGTTATTGAAAGTCCATAGACCTTTCAGGGTCAATATTAGTATTTTCGTGTTAAGCTTGATTCCAAGAACGCGTAGGTGAAAAATCGTTCGCAAATCAGAGTTATAACGACAGAGAAATAAGCACGAAAAGCTAAGGGCAAAAAGGTTATATGGACCTCTATTTGTAGAAGGCCCAAGAATTTGGGAACTCCCCCATCCCCCCTGGCGAAATTGCAACCCAACTCACAGGTCGACTTTGCAACTCAATTCTCTATGCATACCCGGTTCCCTAGAAAAGTTTTCAACGCCGATCGTCACCACCACTACACCAACCAACTCAGCTCTACCCCATCATCAATCCATTTGGCTACCTAGTGCGGTGGAGCAAAGCTCTAGTTTTTCCTAAACTTCTTGACAGTGATTTCTCTGTTTCCAATCAGTCAACACCATCTACCACCACCAATCAACTCACTTCAACCCCAGCTACAAAACCCATATCTTAGATCAGGTGACAGAGCTACGACCAGGCAACTATAGAGGTGTGCTGTTTGTGGAATATGACAGTCTTCGGCAAAAATTGAGGTCCTTCGGCCATTTCCAAACCTCGGTGCAAGCCTTACTGTGAACTTCAATTTGGTATAATTTGGGATGATTTTGTGATGGTTAGAATTCCGACAACTTTAGCTGCTAGCCACCAAGTGCGGAGGAGCGTGAGTGAGATGACCCACTTTGTTCCCCTTAACTAATTTTGATCCCCTGAAACCATATTTGATATCTGTTTTGTGTGATTTCGTCATTTAAGCTTAGTTTCATAAATGGCCTCCACTAGACCTTTGTGGTAGGTGAAGATCCGACTGTTGGATCATGAAGAAATTTTAACATGTTATTTGTATTATTTAAGGATCTTAAGAATTTACAAATCAAAAATCTGATACATGGAAAATTGGATTACGTAGGGTTGTTGACCTTACTGTTGGGCACGTTGACCAAGGGTTAACTTTTGATCAAATGTCCTAAATTGTTCTTAAATACTCAAATAACATTAATAGGGACCTGATAAAGTCTAGTGGGCCTATCTTGGTCAACGAACCATCTGGGGAAGGTGTATCTCAGTTTGCATGCAAGCGACACCTATGTATGTAATGAGATTTTAGATGACATTAATAATAATGTGCAACTTCTAATATGAAGGGATAGTTGGGGACCATATTAGAGTTATTCTGTAGAACTTGTATGTCAGTGGTACTAAATATTGGTTGGTTAGGGGGGGTGTGTGCGCGCGCGCGCTTGCACTTGTAATTCATGGTGAACTGATGTATGTTGTAGAACGTATGTTATGTGATGATGTGAGTGCACCATGTAACAGTGTGGTACATGGATGTTTCGGCCTGGTTAATCTGCATTGGAGGGCCATACTATTATATGTATGCCCATTGTCTTGCCTTAGTTAATCCGCATTGGGGGGGTCACTGCCTACTTGATCACATTATATTCATTGGTGATTTCACCTAGTTAATCCACATTGGGGAACCATACTATTGGATGCATGCCTATGGTTCTACCCAATTAATCCACATTAGGAACCATACGCATTATAGGGGTGACTCTGCCTGGTTAATCCACACCAGGGGGTCACTGCCTACTTGGTCATATTAGATCCATAAGCGGTCTAGCTTGGTTAATCCGCATTAGGGGACCACGCTATCAGATGGATACTTATGGTCCCATCTGGTTACTCCGCATTGGAGGACCATACACATTGTAGTAATAGATTACATTGAGTGGTCAAGAACCCTATTTTCGTTGGATTCCATGGAGTGGTCTAGAATCCCTTTTCCTAATCGGTTCTGTTGAGTGGTCTGGAACCCTATCTTCGTTGGATTCCGTTGAGTAGTCCGGAATCCCTTTCCCTAATCGGTACTGTTGAGTTTGTCTAAGACCCTAGACAGCAGATTCTTGTAGTAAATGTTGCTCAGGGTTATGCTTGTGTTTGTAATTCAAAGTTATAATGCTGTTAATTTAGAATCTTGGTAAAGAATTACGACAAGCCTTACGGAGGTTGACTTTGTTACTATTAGTGAAGTGATGTTTGATCTTAACTACACTAATTTGTTGCCATGTGAGTTAAAAACAAAAAACAAAAATAAAAAAATAAAAAATAAAAAAAACAAAACAAAACAAATTCAATTCGTAGAAATAGTTTTAAAGATTTTAAAAGCATCCGTCCCCACAACACACCTACCGTCCCACAATAGTCCACATTCTACTGATCTTAAAGCGAAGTAAAAATGGTATTGTGTTTCCTTAAACAGAAACTTGGAAACCAATGCCATTGACTCCATTTATTTGGACACTAGTGAGTGAAGATGAACACATGCAGATATTGAATGAACTCACCAACCTTCTTCAAGTCTGAGTTCATTTCTCTATATTTGACCAAGTTAAAGTTCCTCCATGTCACCATTAGGTTTTTGCAGCTTTCAAGCGGTAAAATGGTGAAAAACATATCCACAAATGATGAGAAGAAGCCTTCCTTCTTCCGGATTCTTGTTGCCGGTTACAACACTGAGTATTTGGTAATAGTTTCCGACTACTGCGCTGTGGATTTTAGTTTCTCGCATTTTTCTTGTTTCTCTGTAACTGCTTGGTTTCAATTGCATATTCAATTCTGAAATTTTTGTTTGTAAATACATTTTGTGTGTCTATTTTTTGAAGCATATCCCCAGAGACTTCTTGAAACATATACAGAAAGACCTGTCCGAGAGAGCATTTTTTACGCTGACCGATTCCTTGGATTGTTCATGGAGTGTCAAAGTGAGTGGAACGACAATGGGTGCTGTGCGTTTCACAGATGGCTGGCAGGAGTTCTTGAGGGATAATTCCTTGGGTCACGGCAACTTTGTAGTATTCATCTATGATGGGAGGATGAAGTTCAGCATAAGGGTATATGGCACAAACGCGTGTGAGCGAGAAGTCGGTTCTACCAAGATTGGATCAACTAATCAGAATTCCACCTTTGCTGACACTACTAAAATGCCTAGTGGTAGTGGTGGACAAAGAAAGTGCGATGGGAGCTCGTCTAAGCGTCCTCATCCATCGAGCTCTTGCAGCAACGATGATTCAGGTATCGTCAGATCAGATGTTGCTAACTACTGGAACCCATGAAACTTATGTCTATGATATTTTGTTTTTTTTGGATTTGAAACTACAGGTGAAAACCTTTGTGAACCCAAAGAAGATGACGAAGACAGCACATCTAACGATTGGGACGATGACGAAGACAACACATCTGATGAGGATTCGGAAGATGACACATCTGAGGAGGATATGGAAGCTGCAGCTGAGCCTGAGTCTTTCAAATCAAAATTCCCTCATTTTAAAAGCGTTATAAGAACGTCAAGTAATGTGGTAAGACAACCACTAATTAAGTTTTCATTCATTTAGTTTTGTTTTAGGCCACAGTTTTGTTGACAATTACAATTAACGATTTCTCTTTAGTACATGCATGATGCATCCAAGAAATAAAATTTCTCTTTTGTGTAGTTTGAAAGAGGTTAAATAATAAAATCAAAGCCTTTGGCAACAGATACATTTCCAGTACTATATATGTTAACATGTTAAGAAGATATAACCAAATTTATTACTGCTCAAGCCTGCAGCATCACAATTCCAATATTATAACAAAAAAGCACCATCATGATTTATTCATTGTATCCAAACGGTCAAAGATACATAAAAATTAGAGTATTATTATCGATTTTTCATCTGAGCTAATTTTTTTCTTGAATTCTTATCTTGGCCAATGTTTCTTTTGAACTATCATAAATAGACAATTTCCCCTTATTGTCGTGTTTCCAACATTTCATCAAATTTTCTGCCACAAAAGTTTGATAAAATGTGAGGAAGATGATTATGGGTGGGCAATTGGCCATTCATAATAGGTCATGGAGATCCAGGCCGAAATAAAATTTAAGGAGGGAAATTGACGGTGGGGTGCAAATACAAGTAAAAATCAGCTAGATTTTCTAATAATTATGCTTGAGGAAAATACTAAATCGGCCATACGGAGTTGCATATGCTAGTTGATACATTTGTTACAAGTATGTTTGAGAAATATCAATTTGAATGTTTCATGTGTGCAAATAGAAAGCTAGAATAAAAATCTCTTGAATGTTTATTTCCTTCAATTATGTTGGTTAGTGTTGTTCTCTCTCTCTCTCTCTCTCTCTCTCTCTCTCTCTCTCTCTCTCTCTCTCTCTCTCTCTACATGTCAAATGTAATTTCTTTTGAAGTCTTGTTTGATGTCAATCATGCAGTACGTCCCTGCGGCCTTCTCTAGGAAGCATTTTTCTAAACAAAAACAATTCAAGATTTTCATGAAAAATGCAGAGGAAAAAACATGGGCTGTGAACGTTGTCCATTTGAACACATCACACTCCTTTTCTGCCGGGTGGTCTCGGTTCGCATCTTCTAACCAAATTGGTATCGGCGATACTTGCATATTTGAGCTTTTGAGCAGCAACGAGATGAAGGTTCGCATTATCCACAAGGCATCAGTTTGAAGCTATATTAATAGTAGGGTAATTTAAGTGGTGAGCTTTAGCTAGCCTTGTAGTTTCTCTCCTCGCCGGTCGCCACTCGTAGTTGTATTTCGGATTAAGAGTTGGATAGTGGTGCAAATTGTTTTGTACTATCTAATCATAATTTTTACTTTTAAATCTTAAGAGTTATCGGTACCTAAAGGGACGTGGAAGTGCTTATATTTCACTTCAGTCAATTAGCAATAGCAGGAATCGTCCAACCTTTTATATGCTCATACAAGATTACTTGAATTTTTATCTAAAAATTTAACTTTACATCCTCCGATATATTCGCAAAGTAAAAGCTCTCAAAAATCTGTATTTGGTATATATGATTGATATATACGATAAATCATCTTAGTTTTGATATGCAATGTATATATGGGGACTTCTCCCACTTAACATTCCTAATCTTTTGACTGATGAGTGATGATGAATGCGGTATGAGTTGAACCAGGAATGTCCCATTGTAGGTCTTTTCTGTTCCTTCCAGACTTTGGACTTTATATGTACCAAAAATTAAAAGAACAAAGGAACTCTCGACATTATCATGCACATACATTTGGATATCTAGAGATAATCTTTTTAGTATTAGCAACGTATGCCATGCATTATAAGCAACAAAGAACAAGTAAGTTGTCGATTTGTTTCCTGTATCCGCGTGAAAATAAAGACTCAAGATTATTTTTTGGAAACATAAGACCTTAATAACACTATTTTTCAAGACTTCGCTAACCCAATATTTTTTTTTAACAAACGATATGATCTACACTAAAAAGATGGGGAAGTGGAATAAGCATCACAATGGACTAGCAATCAATAATTTGGTTCAAACTCGCCTTTGACGAGAATCAATCCTAAGACCTCTCAATATTTTTATTTTTTATTTTTTTATATAATACTCTATTATTGATACAAAATGGGGTCTCTTTCCAATGAATGGTAATATAAAATGTAGAAGCACAGTGGTTATACAAAGTATTCTAATATACAATAAAATTATCCCATCCCAATCTCATTCTTCAACATTGATTTAGCGATATCCTGCAAAAATAATAGAAACCATCATTAGAATACAAGACACTTGGACACAACAAACAGTTAAAAGTTAGAAAATGGGGAAAGACTGCTATAACACCATAGATTATTCAGTCCAAAGGAAATGGTTGGAAGCTACTCTAGATGCCAACAACAATTTAATATGAATTTGCCAAAAAAATAAATTACCTCAAGGAAACCTCTTGTGGCGGAAATGGTCCAAAGCTATTCTAAATGCCAACACAATAATAATTAAGAAGCAATTCAACATTTATTAGCAACCCTCAAGAATACAAAAGAAATTCTGAAACTTAAGAAAATTCTCACAACTTGATATTATATTAATGACTACAGTTCGCAAATTGTAGGGAAATCAAACTTTGTTGCACAATGCTCCTTGCTCATGCCTATCATTATACACGATCAAACTACTCCAACATGCAAGAAAATGCAAATGACTTCATCCATGCTTGTAGAAAGTACAAATTAATACATTAAAAGAAAATCTCTCCATATAATGAATACAGAGAAACCTTAGCTGAAATTTTAAATACAGAACTGCATTCAGATTGAAACACCACATCTAAGCCAAACACCGGGCTTGCAATACCAAAACTCCCAAATAGTATCCGAATTTTGCAATGTGCAGGGAACATACCAAAACACTTAAACCACAATCAAAATCCCTAAAATTAATTTAAATCCAAACCCTAAATCTAACAATTTTAACAAATACTATAGCATCAATTGAGAGAATACCCAGAGGCCGTAGAGAGAGATGAAAGGAAGAGTGTGTCCTCTGCTGGGGGTTCCGAAAGAAGATCTGGGTTTCGATTTGGGTTCCTACCAAATTATCAATTTATATTTGAATGACAGTTGCATAATATTTGGTTAAAAACTGAAGTTATTGGATAAACTGTTTGAAGATATATCAAAAACCCATTCAGAGTCGATTTCTCCTATAAGTAACAACCCATCCATAAAAATCAAGATATAAGTAATTCAAATTACATAATTCCAAAAACTCTACCGGTACCCAAATTGCAGAATCCCATTGGTATAAGCAAAATTCATTTTAAGCATCCAGATGAACGAATAGGAGTACCCAAAAACAGCAGAGAAACAAAAGGTACACGTTTCGTATGCAGGGGGTTTTGGTGTAAGAAAAAATGAAAAAACTTTAATCTGAAAGAGAGATGAAATCTACCTTGTCTTTGGCTTCCGAGACGGACTGTTGAGCCTGAAATGTTAAGAGAGTGGGAATTAGTGGTGGATGGCATCAAAAATTGAAGGAAGATAAACGAAATGGGTTTTAATTTCTGGGTTCAGAAAGCTTTACAATCGAAAGGTTAGGGAGCTAGGGAGAAGGCGAGGAGTTCAGCGCAGGGAGGGGAGAGTAATGGCTGGTTTGGTATTTATGTGCTTTGAAAAAAAGCTGTTTCTGCTGTGAGAATAAGCAACTGTGAAATAAAGTAGCAGAGTGTTTAGTAAACTTTTTTGTAAAAGTGCTTTTGAAAAGAAAAAAAAACAGTATTATAGTGTTTGGTAAACTTTTATGTAAAACAAATGTGAAAAAAGTCAGTTTTTCAAAGCTGGGTTTTGCAACTTCTTGTTTTTGGCTTTTTTCACTCAAAACTGTTAAAAAAAAGCTGAAACTGAATTTTTACCAAACACAAAAACAGCTCCCAGCTTTTTTTGATACCAGCTTTTTTCAGAATCATCTCAGTACCAAACCAGGCCTAAGAGAGACTGGACGGAACGGAACGGAACGAGACGAGACGAGACGGGACAGGACGGAACGGAACGGAGCAGGAGCAAAGATGCCCTCGGATGGAAACAAGGAGGAAGAAGGAGACAGAGAGGTTATAATTTTGTGTTCCACGGATGTGGAACGAGTTGTTCGAAGGGGGTGAGGTGGAACGAAAATTCACCCAAAACTCGTCCCGTGGAACAGCTCGTTCCATCCGTTTTAGGCGCACCAAATATGGGATGGAACGCCTTGTCTCACTCTGTTCCGTTCCGTCCCACGTACCAAATGGTACCCCGGGTAAACTTTGTATTTGTACGAGGGGTGCAGTAATGTAGAATACTAGAATAGCATTATTAAATGAAAATAAAAATATCTTTGACAGAAAAAAGGAGAAGAAAACTGAAAAAGAAGTTAAAAAAAAATCAGCTCCCAAGGTTGAAAAACATATAACAAGTCTCTGGTGTCAAAATTTTTCTGGTTTGACACCAATGAATGGTGTTATAAAGGTTAAAGCCACCAATGATTGGTGTTACAAAAGTTTAAGACACTAAATTTTAACTATGGTGACAGTTCAATTTACAAAGCTACTGATGAAGAAGGGTGTCCTCAAAACGATGTCCTATAGCACATTGTCTAGTAGTGTAATTCTCATTGATTGAAAGCCCTTGACTAATATGGACACCCGGAGTAATACGGCAACAAAAAAACATATTACACTTGAGAAGAAAAAAAAATGGCTCAACAAGCACCCGAGATGGGCTCAGGTTGTTCTGCGGGACGAGTGAAAATTACGGATAGTTTGGTATTGTCGTACTTAGAAAAAAAAATGCTTCTGTTGTGTGTTGTAAAAATAAAAAGCTGTAAAATAATGCAATTGAGTGTTTGATAAACATCTATATAAAACTAAAGTGACTATGTCAAATGACTAAAAATAATGTGATTTTAGATGTAATATAGTAATTTATTGTGCGTTTTATTTGTGGTTTATTTTTTTATTTAATCTCTCTCTAGAACACTTCTCTCCCTCATCAATTAGATGCAAATGGATATAATTTATTCAATACTCAACGAAATTGGGTGATTCAAAAAGGAAAGTTGCAGTACTCAACGAGAAGAAGAGATTGATACCTTGCATGTTGGCCAACTCGCCGTGGTTTGGCCGAAAATTGCCTCGAAAAGGACGATGCTCGCTCGAAAATTTGGAAAAGCTACTCCGAGCTATTTTCTGCGATTCACACGTATACACCAATTAAAATAAGCTTCAATCTAATCCTAAAGCACAGCCCAAGGGTTTCTAGAAGCTTCCCAACGTTGGAAAAATACGAAACACGTCGGAGAAGACAATGAACAGTGATAACTTCACTGTGGGGCTTCCCATGCACGGCTTGGGGTTTTTGGGGCTCTTCCATCTAGGTGTGCAGGTGGTGGTGCATGTGTGTGATCACAGAGAGGAGGAAGGTGGGTTTGTAGAGTGGTGAAAGCTCAGAGAGAGGGAGTCCGAGAGTGAAGAGAGGGAGAGAAATGAAAGCACGGCATGAAAGGGAGAGAGAGAAGAAGAGGGAGGAGGATTCTCTACCCTCCTAATCTCTTTACCCTTCCATCTTTTCCTATTTGAACGGTCATGGTGATGCCACGTCAACATCTTATATTGATTGTTTTTATAGAGATAATAAGACAAAAAACAATGTGTGAAAGGAGGGGATGGAAGGGAATGAGAATAGGAGGGTAGAGAATCCTCCTTCTCCGAAGAGGGCTAGGGAACTGCCACGTGGCAGTCTAGAAAATGGGGCTGGGGATAGCCAAAATAGGGGTGGGCCCCTGGGCACACCATTTAACACCAAAAATCATTTTTTTTAAAAGAAAAATATCCACAAACTTAGTGAAAATACAAAATACCCTTTTTGCTCTGTAAACCCTCGGGACGAGTTGTTACAAAATTTTTATGTTCCAAAAAACTTAATCATTTGTGTCACATCCCGGCCCGGACGGCACCACTTCCTGGGCCCGCTCCACCACCGTAGCACGATATTGTCCGCTTTGGGCCCCGACCACGCCCTCACGGTTTTGTTTTTGGGAACTCACACGAGAACTTCCCGGTGAGTCACCCATCATGGGATTGCTCAAGCCCCCTTCTCGCTTAACTTCGGAGTTCCTACAGAACCCGAAGCCAGTGAGCTCCCAAAAGGCCTCGTGCTAGGTAGGGATGAGAATATACATATAAGGATCACACCCCTGGGCGATGTGGGATTTCACAATCCACCCCCCTTAGGGGCCCGACGTCCTCGTCGGCACACACGCTACCAGGGTTACGCTCTGATACCAAATAAATATTTGTCACATCTCAGCCCGGGGGAGACCACTTCCCGGGTCCGCTCCACCACCACAGCACGATATTATCCGCTTTAAGCTTACCATTCCCTCACGGTTTTGTTTTTGGGAACTCACGAGCAATTTCCCAATGGGTCACCCATCATGGGATTGCTCAAGCCCCCTTCTCGCTTAACTTCGGAGTTTCTACAGAACCCGAAGCCAGTGAACTCCCAAAAGGCCTCGTGCTAGGTAGGGATGGGAATATACATACAAGGATCACACCCCTGGGCGATGTGGGATGTCACAATCCACCCCCCTTAGGGGCCCGACGTCCTCGTCGGCACACATGCTACCAGGATTAGGCTCTGATACCAATCTGTCACATCCCGGCCCGGGGTGGATCACTTCCCGGGCCCGCTCCACCACCATAGCACGATATTGTCCGCTTTGGGCTTACCATTCCCTCACGGTTTTGTTTTTGGGAACTCACGAGCAACTTCCCAATGGGTCACCCATCATGGGATTGCTCAAGCCCCCTTCTCGCTTAACTTCGGAGTTCCTACAGAACCCGAAGCCAGTGAGCTCCCAAAAGGCCTCGTGCTAGGTAGGAATGGGAATATACATATAAGGATCACACCCCTAGGCGATGTGGGATGTCACAATTTGAATGTATTCAAACGTGTGAGATGCATGGATGCTTAGAACAATTAAAACTCTTGAGTCTTAAAATGTTGGACATTTGTTATTGATATATTGGAATAGGTTTAAATGTTCAAATGAGGTATTAGTCAAAACTGAACCGTTGAATGCTAGTTGGTTTAATATTTTATTTGTTTAACCGCATCATTGGATGAGAAATAAATAAAATGGGGAGATTTTTTTCAAATGGAAAATGATAAACTCACACCATTTTGCTTCACCTATTGTAGGTTAATACATCACTAATCATTTGATTGGACTAACTCCACTACTTCGTTTTATTATTTGAATAGTTCATTTTTCTAATCATCATTTGAATATTACTCTTGCAAATATTGGCTTAATTTTCATTCTTAAAAAAAAGAAAAAATGGTGTTCGTCTATTTGTTTGGTTATGGTTAGATAATTCAATATTATCAGATTTGGCTAATTTTTTCGTAAGACTGATCTTTGAATAATGATCTAAAAATTGTGCAATTTAAAACATGAGATTGTTGTAAATAGTGTGCTTATTTAGGAATGTGATTATGTAATTTTAAAGTAGAAAACCAACAGAATTTAGGATCAATCATCATAGGTTTTGTATTACTTGTAAGGTATGAAGGCCCATCACAATTAGTATAAATAAGGGTGCATTTGGTACGTGGGACAGGATGGAACGGAATGGGACGAGGCGTTCTGTCCCATTTGGTGTGCCTAAAACGGGTAGAACAC